TGTACATATAAAGCAACCTCAGATTTTCCTAACTTGCATCAAAAAAATCCTTTCTCATGGTGAAAGTATGAGATGTCTTCGTGAAGTCATTTCATATTGTTTACACGTGTTTTAAAAAAACTAAGAACTACTTTGCTCTTTATTTCACTACTCTTAACCTTTCACAGAATTCAGCCCAGTTATTGAGATATTTATTCATTAGACCAATTTCTGCAAAACAATAATAGTTTGCAGCAGTTGGACTAGAACTTTGTATTGTAGACGGATAACCATGGTTTCTTTCTAAAGTGTTTTCTATTCCTTATACAATGAATATAATTAAATTAACCAAGTACTTAGAAAAACTCCCCAGCACACGAGCCTTGTTGAACCACTCTGCCACTACACAGGCAGAAAACACAGTGGTGAACTTGAGGTCAATAATAAGTAAAAAACAAAACAAAACAAAACACACACACACACACAAAAAACCCACAACCAACCAAAAACAACAACAAAAACCAAAACCCAAAACCCCCAACAAAAACAAAACAAACCCCCCCCCCAAAAAAAAAAACACCAAAAAAACCTTTACTTTGTACCAAATAGAAAAGACAAGCAAAACATCAGTACTGACATGTCACACTTCCTATCTAGTCCTATGCAGTCCTACATGTTTTTTTAAACTAACCTCTATGGGACCTAAGCACTTCATAGAATTTAAAGTTAGTGCTGAATATCTACTTTCCTTCTACAAATCCCTCAAATGTGTGCCTTTTTTATATATTACCAAGCAATGCTGAGGAGTCGGGAGAACTCAGGGTACCAGGCCTAATATATAGTTTCTCAATTACACAGCAAAGACTAAAGAACAAGATATCATAGCATTTTGAAAGCTAAATCCCTATTATTAATTATAAATATGCAGCCAGATTTCCAGACATGCCCATCCCAGCTGGTACTGACTGTCATTATTATGTGTGATGACTCTACACAAACTGTCCCTTGCACGTGTAACTCCCCGAGTCCCAAAGAGCTGTCACAGAGCACAGACTTTCACAAGCAGCGCAGATACAATTTTTCTATACACACCTCCTGCAATTCCTTTGCTCAATGAGGAAACTGCTGCAAGTATCTTTCAAAATGCTACCATGGAAGAAGTGAATAAACATCCTGGTTTGAGCTCTGATGTCACCTGTGTAACAGGCAGGATCTCAGCAGCTGAGGCACTTTCAGGAGCCAGCAGAGCAACCAGGGGGAAACTGTGGTGGTTAAATATCGTAGGAGGACAAAAGCACACCAAAACCAGATTTCTAAAGCTCATTTACACAGCAGTCTTCTCACCACATACTAACAAATATTTAAGGAAATATATCAAACAATATTAAAGGAGGAAAATTATGGCATCATAATAGTTTTTATAACGTCCCCACATCTCTGAGACTTCAGCTTTAACAAATATGCTGCAAGGATTTCTAATGATTGAACTGAGCTCTTGGCTCATGACACACTTAAACTTCAAAAACTTACATGTACAGACTAAGGTCAGAACTTAGAGAGCAATGACTGATTCAGAAAAAAAGGGGGGAAAAAAGCAACTTTTTCCTAAGCTTGGTAAAATTATTAGCTCTCTGAGAGACACTTATCTCCCTCGACTGGAGGAGGAGTGGGGATTACCAAATTGCATGAGCAACAAACAATTTAGAAAGCTAAACTAAAATGAGATGAAGCCACCCAAACAGTTATTTCACATTAATATGAAAAACAATGTTTTAATGGATAATAAAAAGCTGAAGCAACCTATCCATAAGACTATGTCACATATAATAGGAGAGATAATCAAAAGTACTCTATAGCCCAACCTGACATAAATAATACAGACTCTATCTCCAGGATTCAGCTGGTTTCCAGACACACCCATTTTTTTTACTAGACAGGGCATAACACTCCATCACTTGCAAGGTATCTAGGAAACATGATGCTGATAGCACCATAAATTTTTTCTTCCAAGTATTGTTCAGAAACTCAGGATACAAAATACATAAAATTGGCAAATCTACCCATTCCATAATTATTTAATTCTTAGTAAAATATTTAAAGTTTTCTGGAAAAGTGTGTCTGTGAAATTGTGGTTTTAACTTGGTGAAATGAATAATAGAAAAGATTAAGTTGCAATCAAATCAATCTTCATAGATTTCATTTTTTTTAAGAGTAATTACTACATCCAAAGAGTAATTACCACAGTCATTTCTTTTGTACTTCATCAGTTTGATAACACATACAGAATGTGACTTGCAAGAAGGTACCAATACCATATTAAACAGCATAATGAACTGGACAAACCAAAATATTGTTCCTTTTTAATAAAAAGACCAAAACACCAGCATAAAACACTTTCATAAAGCAGTATGTGATATGTGAAAGTCAGAAAGTTACACTTAGATCCTGGGACTCGCACTCTTGATTCATGAGTGCACATTCTACAAATAAATGTGGACAAATAAGTAATATTATCCTCCAAAATGAGGAGGGAGCTCTGTTTCACTAAAAATTAAAACCAAATGTAAACTGAAGCAAGAACAAAATCAATAGCTCACATCATCAGATGCCTACCAGACGCTGTGGAATACGTGATACGGGGATACAGTAAAAAAAAATTCAACTGTTCTGCAAAGGTTTTATTCGCACACTCGGTGAAACCTGCAGCAAATAACCCATATATGTTCCATGCACTTCATTTACTCATTATTTTTGTATTAAAGCAAACACATTGCATTGATATCTGTACAGAATGCCATCAAGAGCCATTAAGTAGCCCTATAAAAAGGATCTTGTCTCAGCCTCTCCTAACACTGTAGGCAGCTGATAAACACTTGCCAAAAATAGATGCAGGCAATATCCACAGGCTCTTCTCACCAGGATCATGCACGAGTCCACTTCCCAGACTGCTCCATTTCCCGTTTTTTAACTCCCAGGACAAGTGTCTGTGCTTTTTGGCCCAAATATGGACTGTATGTTTGTATTTAAAATGTGGACATGAAAATGAGGGAAGGGGAAAAAACTACTTGTGGTGAAAACGGCAGTGGCAATAAACAAGACAAGAAACAGATTATGGATTCATTAAATTCCCTTAGATTTCTAGCCTTCACAATCCTATAGGGAGGCTTTTCCATAACTGCACAGTTCAAATGGTTGGAACCATTCTACAGACTGAAAGTTGACACCCATTTTCTCTTATCTTAAACACTTTTCCTCCAAACTGTATTCTTATCATATATTTACAAACAACAATCTTTTTTGCTCTCAGCCATTCTCTTGAGATATTAAATATACCACATACTTTTATTATCTCCTGAAGTCTCCCCAGGCTTCAGTCGGCCTTAATACCACTTGCCATGCAGAGTCCTCTCTGAGTTTGTCTTCCTGAAATGTGTTTTGCCAAAATATTACAAAAATATCCTGGGCCTCGAGAAAGACACCAACGCTTCTTTCTTCTTGTCATTAGGCCTGTGTAAGCCATTTCTACATCCACACGCCACTCCTGACTCAGACACACAAGCAACTGTCATTTCCTTCAGTGTGAAGGAGAAAATTCCTATCATTTCCTAAGTGTACAACTTGCACCTTGTGCCATTAAACATTATCTCATGACAACTGTCATTCCCACTCATTTCATTCCCCCTCCTCCCCGCCTGCTACTGGCAAAGTTTTGTGGGGTTCTTTTGTTACTGTTCACCTCTACTTTTGAATTTGGATAGCTGGGAATTTGATTTTTGTATTTTGACACTTGCACCGCATACCAGCAGGCTCTGGGGCTTCAGAAGTAAACCTTTTTTAGCACCATCCTACTAAGACTGCCTTCTGTCCCATGAAATTAGGCACAGAGAGCTGGGACATTTTCACTGCACTGATGTCTATCAAAACACAGTTTATCCATAACACGATCCAGAAGTATTCCATATCCTTTTATTGCCATGATTCACTTAATGTAGTTATTCCAGTAATCTAAATGAGGGATCTATATCCCCCAGGACTTTCCTCCCACTCAGCCAGACTGCTCACGCTACAGACTGTGAGTAGGGTATTTCTCCAGGTGAAACAGGCAAATACCGATGCAGTTATTCTGATCAAGCCATTACTGGAGTCTCAAAGACAGGAAACTTTTAATCAATACTCTGATGGGAAATGCTTAGGAAGAGGCAGGAAGGGGGAAGGCAACTTGCCACAAGATGATATCCAGCAAAAATCCACACATCTCAGCTGTCAGCCCCAACCTGTGTGTATTAATGTGTCACAATCCATCTCCCAAGAAGCTGTTTCTCGACACTCTGGCTTCTGTGGTGTGGAATTCCTGTGTTTCCAAATAGCTTTTCAGCTTGTGGAAACTCCTCCTTTTGCAGTTGCCTGAGCATCACCATCTGACTCTCCCCACCTTTCAGACCTCCAACTACCTTGGCTTCTCCACTCCCTGATTTTCAATTCAGACTCGTTGTGGAGGCAGTGCATTTTCCAAAGCATTCCAGACCTTTTTAGGAACCTCAGTTGTTACTTGTGGGGAAATGTCTTGATTTCAGTGTGTGTGTGGGGGGAGTTGGTAGTTTTTTGTTTGTTTGAGGGTTGTTTTCAGTTATGTTTAATTGCAGCAACACATGTTCTTAGTGCTATATAGATATTCTGTACGAAAAATATGTCAGCACTCAGAGGTAATAACACAAGGGTCTGTGTTCAACTCACTTTTGTAATACCAAAATGCACCAACTCTTGTAATTCATTCAACAATATATTTGCTATTCATAATGTAAAACAGTATAAGGCACATATTTTAAAACTGATCATTTTTGCTACTATGCTTTGTCCCACAAACCAAAAACTTTAGAAAATTATGGAACAAAAACCTGTACAATTTCTAAATAACCTGACGGTGTTTGGGACCAAAACTTTAAAGAATCACATTAGCTGGACTTGAAAGAAACGTTGTGGTATTCAAAAGTCAAATGAGAAGAATACAATACAACACATACCTATATCATATGCAAGGAAGTCAGCTGAAAAACACTTTGCACCATTGCTCAGGGAAGTATCATTATGAGTGTTTCCACCGAAAATGAGCATAGCTCCATTGATTAAGACAGCTGAATGAAGGTATCTTGCAAAACCACTCTCTTTCAAAATAGTCCTAAAACATACAAGAACAAATTTATACATATTAACATCTGAAAAACTACATGCACATCAAGAAAATTTATAGATAAAAACATACAAAACACGTGGAAAATACTAAACTAAAGCTGTTATTCAGTAAACATGATGAAATTTATTCATACCGTTTCTAGGATTATGAATTTTCTCATGGTACAACCAATATATTTATCATTCATTTAAAATTTCCTGCTTTTTTAGTTTAAAAAAACCAGGGTTTTGAATAATGTATCTTAATGTATCTTAAATACATTTTATCATGTTTACACTCTTCCCACATGATTAATGATACGGTAAATTCTAGTAAAAAGTGAATGAAAACCCATTCCATATTATTAATTCCAATTCGTATATATTCTTAGCCATGTTGGGTTTTTGCCCAAGGACTGCAATAAAGAATACTTTAGAAGGCTAAAAGAATCTTTAGACTATCCTAAGTATAGTAAAAGGATAAACTTTTTTTTTTTTTATTTACTTGAACACTCGGACTTGGAAAAGAAATGGTAGAAGTCATTCCACATACGATAAAAAACACTTGCACTGCTTTACAAACTTATTCAGAGCAGTAAACTTAAACATACAGAATTTCTGTACTTTAAAAAAAAAAAAAATTAGTCCACACACATTGAGCCTTTGATGTCTTTTTCATTCATTTTAGCCTGTGTCTGTGTGGTCTGCTTTGTGCCCCAGCAATAACATGGTCCCAACAGTAGCCAAGAGCTATCAATGCCACAGTTTAAAAGGGGCAGATGTGGGGGTTAGTAAAAAGAACAGAACACAAACTTGATTCAATCACGGCAAATAAATCTTACCAAGGAAGAAAGTAACCATTTGTGGGTTTTGCCAGTTAAGCAAACCAGCTGCAGACGTGTTTGTGAAGGGCTGATTAGATCACCAGGACAAAATATTTTTTACGTTCTCCTAATAACGTTCCGCTTGCCTCAGTAATCTAAGTTTTCAAGTTTAGGCCCTCAGTTTCATTTAAGCTACTGCACACTGCTCGCATCTACAACTGAGCTGTTCTGTCATTTGTTTCCTGTAACAAACTGACTCAACACTCTTTCCTTCTGATTAAATAATGCCGTCCGCTTGAATCACATCCCTAATATTTTTTTCAGTATTTTTACGTCATCATCACGTTTAGGAGAGAGTGTTTAAAGTACATCTCCCTGTGTTGATACAATACATAAATCAATCAATAAACTTGAGATATTTCTAAGTGATAAAAAATTGTATGTTTGAACAAGTTGAAAGGAAGACATTAAATCTAAATTCTCATACTGTTATTTAAATAAATTCCCCCTTAGCTCTAGAAAGTATCATCAAAGGAAATGTCAAAGACTAAATGAAAATAAATGAGTTTTCTCATTGCTTAAAAATGTGACAATTCCTTCAAGCCACTAACATACCCACCCATGTGCTTCTGGTTTTAGTCCCTTTTATTTTTGTTCTATTAAACAATTTGCTTTTTTCTTGTGTATCTCTGATGAACATACTTTGAAATCAGAGCACCTTTTAAGGGTTTTTCTAACCAGGAATTATCTGGACAGAGAATACTTATGGTACCTACCTAAAAACGTGATATTTGGGTTCTACTCCTCAGTTAGCAACATAGAATATTTGGAATGACAACGAAAAGGAACAAGACACTGGTTTTCAGTTATTATCTACTGGTAATGGAGGAATACTGCTGCCGTGACTTGAAAGAATGATAATACACTAAGAACATGTTACCTTATGCATTCAGATTAAGAATTCCTCTCTGTCTTGTGCTGTACCAGTTTTCTACACCCCCTATTGCCTAATTTACACTAATTGCTATACACTAGGCTCTGCCTTGATTATCCTGCCTTGCAGCTGTCTACAAATAGTTGTTTTGATCACTAAAGGCCTGAAGAGACATACACTGTTCTGGGGAAAACTGAAGGCCCTCCTCTCTGCAGTGCATATATCACCAATCTCCATGGGATTTTTTGGGGGCTACTCACTTTCCTGTGTGTGACCCAACTACATAGCCCTGGTCCATAAGGGGTGTGTGTGGGGGGGGGTGTCTTCTAATTTTTGCATATTGCGTGCTAAGTTTCATCCCTCCTGGTAACAGCAACTTTTCCTCAAGAATCAGCAGAACTGGAGGTTTGTTAATTTGGCCATGATTTTCACTATTCATTAGCATCACTAATGAAGGCAATCTTGAGAACTCTCCAACACCTATCAACCTCATGCAAATTCTGCGAGGTCTCAGCAGGCTGAGTTCATTATTTATGCACATCTCCGTGTCTCTGCAAACATCGGTCCACGTTAACTGTGCCAGTGCCGAGCGTTGCACACAACCAGCAGGATTCCATAATGGTGATGGAAACACCCAGGAGCCAGCAGGTGCTTCCACTGTTTCAGGCCATTATCTAAGTCCACATTGTCCCCCAGTTGCCAGCTGCAGCAGCAGGCAAGTAACGCAGAGCAATGAAGGTATTAGAAACGCTGCAATTCCCCATCATGTATTAGAAATACAATTCACACGAGGAATTAAAATATTGCCACCTCACATTCCAAGACACATAAAGCTTGTTCAATTGATATTAAGAAATGGAAACCTACGTGCCACTGAATAAAACAAGTAAACAGCTCTGTATAGCACAACTCAGTGAAGCGTATGAACCTCTGCCAGATCAGCCAGAGAACAGAACGAGTGCAAGAGAAAAACGGTGAGGACAAGCAAAAGCAAGTTTGAGAAATTCCCTGTACATGGGCATGAGAAAGTCTTAGTTCCAACTCTTCTCATACTGCACCTCCCCAGTGGCACATTCAGTCTCAGTTACCTCACTGAGGGCTTTGAATACTGATTATAAGATGTCACAGACAGAGTGAACAAAAGCTTAAAGATTTTATTACTACATGTCATTACCCCATCCTCTGAGACAGTTTTCCATCCCATTGTACAATTCACTTCCAGTGTACACCTCATGAAACTAATAAAAGACTTGAGTTCTCTACAAGCTGCAGAGAATGCCACATTAGTACAGAGTGGATCGAAGCATTCGTTATTAGTTCTTATATGAATAATGCATAAAAATATTCCAATTATTATTATTATATTGTTGAACAGACCATCAAAGGATACAATATCACTTTGTTCCAAAAATAGAGTATAATAAGAAAGCATTAAAATTCCAGTGATTTAAAAATACATTAAAAGGCACAAAAAATTCTTGTAATAATGTTTCCAAGTGCCATGAGTTAATGATATTCAAAATCAAGAGCCTCAGTGAAATCAAAACCACATGTTTCCAAGATCTGAGAGCAAGCCTTGTGTGCTTAAAGTTAAGCCATTAGTGCTGAACACAAATATTAATTTTCAAGAAAAAAACATTCTGAGAAACCATCCTTGATCTCAAATGTCCTCTAGGGTAAGAAAAAACATTTAAGGTCACTCTCTATACAAAAGATATAAGTAGCCTTCATAAGTTACAATAAACTTAAGGGACAAGAAACTGACAAAAATAGGCACATCAAGAACATTAATAACTAAGGATTCCTACACAATACCAGAAGCTTTTTCTCTTATTTCTGATAAGTTTGTTAAGAATAACCTTCCGCAATGCTTAAGGTTTTCCATTTATTTATATAACAGCCATACAT